GAGGAGAGGAGCGGTGAGCAAATTCGCAGGGAAATGGATAGCACTGGAAGAAACCATCCTGAGTGAGGTAACCCAGTCGCAAAAAGACAAACATGGTATGTACTCACTCATATATGGATTTTAGATATGGATCAGGATAGTGCCAGTCTGCACTTCCACAGATAGAGAGTCTGGGAAACAGGAAAGAACCTAAAAGATATGCATATATGCATAGTACCCAAGAGAAGAGGATGGAGACAAGATCCTCTGAATGGATGGGGAACAGGGCGGGGGGGGGGGTGGTAGTGGGACCTGGGAAGAATAGAGGGGGTAAAGAGGAAGGGAGTTGGTCATGGGGGAACAGAAAGTTGAGGGGGTGGGGGTAGAATAGGGGGAAGAGGGAATCATAGGATCGAAGACAGATCAGGCACCAGAGTGACCTTGAGAGATCTAAAGGTATAACATCAATTGGCAAGCTAAGCAATAGTGGAGGGACCACCTCGAATGCCCATTCCTGATAATGAACTTGATGTCTATAACTATCCGGGAGCCTTCATCCTGGGACTGATGGAAGCAGAGGCAAACACACAACTAAGCACTGAACTGAACCCAAGGAACCCAGTGACAGAGAGAGAGGAATGATGAGCAAATTGGCAAAGAATGGGCTGGCAAAACCAGCAGAGACAGCTGATCTGAACAGGGGAGTGCTCTTGGACCCCAGACCGACAGTGGGGAGGCCAGAATGGGACTGATCTGGACTCCCCAAATGTGAGTGTCAGTGAGAAGGCCTGGACAACCTATGGGGCTCTGAGCTGTGGATCAGTGTCTATCCCTGGTATACAATCTGTCTTCATGTGCCTATAGCACAAAGAGAGATGCTCTCTCAGCCTGGACTCTTAGGGGAGTGCCTTGACCCTACCAAGAGTAAAATGATAGACTCTAGACATCCCCTATGTGGAAGGATTTGGCAATAGGGTGGGGGGGAGGGTGGAAGGGGAGTGCGGGAGGAGGGGAGGGAGAGGGAACTGGGATTGACATGTAAAACAAGCTATTTAAAATTAAAATAAAGGGACATGTGTTAAAAAAAAAAAGAATGGGCTGGAAAAACCAGCTTAGACAACTGATCTGAACAACGGGGAGCTCTTGGACCCCAGACCAACAGCTGGGAGGCCAGCATGGGACTGATCCAGACTCCATGAGTGTGAGTCAGTGAGGAGGCCTGGGCAACCTATGGGGCCCTGGGCAGTAGATCAGTGTTGATCCGTGTCATACAAATGGACTTCATGTGTCCATAACACAAAGAGAGATGCTCTCTCAGCCTGGACTCTTAGGGGAGTACCTGGGCCCTGCCCTGAGTGAAATGACAGACTCTAGATATCCCCTATGTGGAAGGAAGTGGGGATAGGGTCGGAGGCTGGGGGGGGCTGGTGGGGGTTCAGGAGGAGGGGAGGGAGAGGGAACTGGGATGTACATGTGAAGCAAGCTATTTAAAATTAAAGTAATAAGAAATCATCTTGAATGAGGAACCCAAATCCCAGAAACACAAATGTGGTATGTATTCACTTGTATAAGGAATGTAGTTGTATATAAGCCGTAAGCAAGCTACAAATCATATAACCACAAAGGTAGAGAGTAAGGGACTTGGGGAAGAATGTGTTAGTCTGTGTGTTTGTTTTATTTTATTTTGGTGTTTTTTGTTTTTTATTTTAATGTTCTTTACATGCCTGTTTATCTCTAAGAAGAAAGAAAAGGTGTAGATTCAGAAAGAAAGGAGGATCTTGGAGGAGTTTGGGGAATGAAAACAATAATCAGAATATATTACATGAAAATAATCTATTTCAATAAGAGAAAAATAGAGGAAAACATGAATATGACAGTTGATCAAATTTTAAAAGTAAATACATAAATGTTTAATAATATTTGATGCCCATCACCCGGTAAAGTATATTTTCTTGGTCCTATATATTCATGGAAAATTGTTCAAGACTTGGCTTACAGTCATTCATTATTCTTCTTCTGAATATTGCCTTTTTATTCTTTAAAAATCTTTGTAGTTATAACATGAAAAATAATACTTTGACAGAAATTTGTATTTATACCATAGTATAATAAACAGAAATTTGTATTTATACCATAGTATTTATAACATCGTATATTGCATAATATAAATTACTGCAATACAAATGCAACAACAACAACAACAAAATAATTAACTAATGGTTGTATGCTCACCCCATAATAGGGCATTTATACTACTTCTCTCTCCAAGGCTCAGAGAATATTTGGGAGACAGAACAAAAATAAAGTAGATGAAATATGTGGAAATTATTAACTCCTGGAAAAGACACAGAAATTACATTTATGTTCTCATAGAAGCTAGGCTTCCTGACTGGATTTGCACTAAGCTGGTCCTATGAAGAGTCAGTCATGGGCAAGAGAGTTTTTGAAGATCCCTACCACTTCCTTGAGAATTTATGGGTATTGATAAGTTTTAGAAGACAATGAGTTACCTATTGGGAGTTCACCTGCCTACGATTGATGGTTCTAAAGCCACAGCCATGAAGATAGTTATGGTTAGACATAATGGTTCATAAAATAAAAGATAAAAATATGACACAGTCTTGTATTATGACTGGGATGTTGTCAGGGATTGGAAGAGGATATGAGCTGGTATGGGGTGAGGGAGATCACAGTGCATTATGTATGCACATGAAACTGTCAAACACCAAATTGTATTTAAAATAATAATTTTAAAGAAACAAATTTTGAATGAACAGTGTCTCCGTACTTTCCCACTATGGGTAAAGTCCTAGGATCTCTCTATAACACTATTCGCCCGCCTACTTCCATGCATAAGCACACATACACAGAAAGAGAAAATTAAAGTTCATTTTTCATGTGTAAAGATGTTCCTCTCATTAAAGCCCGACCATGCATTATTTTCCTAGCACTATGTTGTATTTTCAAATGTACTCTTAACTCTCTTGAAGCAAAACATAAAATAATTAGAATGTAGAAATATAAACATGTTCTGGAGTAAACTTATTTTTTACTTATAAATTCTGGAAAAGTGTAGTTTCTAATAATAATTCTCCCTAGGGACTAATGTACCAAGAAAATAGTATGACAGTAGCCTTGTGGAATCAGTATCAAAATAAATGAATTACGGACTAAATTTTAGGAGATGAATAGCGTACACACCAACAATTTAATCTGTATGCTCTGCAGTTTATTTAAATATGGGGCTTCAGGTGGTAAAGGAGATTCTAATACTTGCTTGAAAGAAACACATTCCTGCTTTTGATGATTAATTTATGTGTCAATTTGACTGGGATAAGGAATTCTCAGATATACAGTGAAAAGTCTTTCCAAATATCTGTGTAATGATGTCTCCAAAAGTGAATAGTACCTGAATTAGAAGACTGAGAAATGAAGATTCCCAGTCATCAGTGTTAACAGGTAAAATTCAATCACCCAATATATGAAGCGGGGCTACAAAGACAAATGAAGGGTGAATTCTCTCCTTCTATAGCTCTAATATCTATCTCCCTCCTTAACCTGGGACAAAATATTTTTATGCATAAAGGAAACAGATTCTCAAACATTCAACCCCAGAACCTACTAAATTTCTCCACCACACACACACACACACACACACACACACACACACACACACACACACACACACACACACACTTTTCTGATCTTTGGTCTCAGACTAGGGCAAAAGCCAGTGCTCTGAATAGCTTCCCTTATTCTCAGGTCTCAGTCTTTAGACTGAGTAACACTGGCTTTCGCAAAGAAAAATCCTGTGGCTTCCTGAACTCCTTGTTCCACCTGAGCAGCTTCCAGTGAATCTCCTTTACATATATAAATATTCAGTTGGTTCTGTTTCTCCAGAGAACGTTGAATGATAGAAATGTGTGATATCTTTATTTACATAAAAGGAGACTCAGTGTATTTATTTATACCAGCATTATTGTTAGTGACAGGAAAAACATGGTATAAAGTGAAATAATTATTACTTTAATTGGTAGTCAGTATATGCTGTCAAATGATCTCTAGCTTCCAAGAAGTTATATTTTAATGACACAGAAAGGAAGAAAATTAACTAATATCATTTCAAAACCATTCATTTTTAAACAGACACATGAAATTAGAATAGATTTAATTTTGAATAAGATTTCTAGCAAGTATAGCATGCACATTCTCCAGGATATGTATAAACACTCAAAATTTGGGACCCAAGCTCTCTGTTTTATTGAGTTTGTGTAAGAAATTATCCATCCTTGTTAATGTCTAGAAATGCCCCCTATTTCATTATTAAACAATCATATGGCATTCTCTATTTAATGTGTGAAGAACCACTTAGTATCCTACTATGTTAAACTTAACTAATATTCATTTCTGCTTATATTCAACTGCATGAGTTAATCTGTGATATCATTATTGTTTATTATTACTAGACCCTGAAAGTTTCAGTGTAAGACTTAAATATTGCAAATAGAAATCTATGTGTAGGTGTGGCTGTGCATGCGTGTGTATACATGTATTTTTACATGTGGGTATGCATGTGAGTGCATGTATCTATTCATATGTAGTCTATTCATATGATCTATTCTAATTTGATTTTGCATGAATATGTGTGGGTGTTGGAGTTTTTGTAAATTAAGCACTTTACATCTCTGATCTGATTCAAAATCATAAAAAATGACCTTAAATATGAACATAAAACATCCATGTTAAATCAGGACTTCTACATTTAACAATACCTTGTGAATTATCAGAAATTCTAGTAATTTCAACTCGTCCTGTTAAAAGATGTCTAATATAACCTGATAGTCACAAAACTATAATATATATGTATAGTCTGTCTTCCATCTATCTTTTTTATATCTTACCTCTGCTACATACATACTCACATTCACTTGTATATCCTGATTTGTCAGTAAAAACCCCTGCCTTTTTGAAAATTTATTCGATTAGGAGACATAACAAGTAAACAACATTTATACATTTACCAAGTATATCCTTATCTTCGATAATCATCATCTCAACTTCTCCTCCAGTAATAATTGTACATGAGAAAGGATCTTGAAGAAGAATACTGATCTCACCAAATGACTCCTTCTCTTTAAGCTTACCCATATAAACAAGTTTTTTTACTTTTTTCTGCAAAAGATATGGACAACAAAATTTTAATAAAATTATTCTTCTAAACTTTATTGTCAGAAACTCAGCTATTCATAATTCATTTGGCTAAAAGATATTAGTTATCAAATTTATTGAAATCAGAGAAAACATATACATTTCATTTTATTAATTTTATTGTATTAATTTATATTAAAACAACGATGTATTCAAGGACACAAGTATATGCAAGATAGCTGACAACACTATTATTTGGTTATGCATCTATTACATTATTTTAATGTTTATTTATTCAAGGTATGTGTGAGATGATGCTGCTGATGATGACGTGATCTTGATGATGCTATGAATGTAGAGAATAGCAACATACAGGATTCAATTATCTCCTTTCACTCTGTGGTTCTGAGATCAAACTAAGTTTGTCAGGCTTAGCAGCAAGCACCTTTACCAAATGAGCCATTTCACTACTCAATATTTCCTTTTTGAATACCTTAAGATGTCTGAGAAATGGTGAAAGGGTTGAAGTTTACAAAAGCCTTAGAACACTACTTTTTGAGAGTGTAACTTAACCATATTTTGTGAACTATCAATTGTAATAAACCTTAACCTCAGTTGGGAGACATGGTTATTGGAGTAACAGAGATGATGGGGTTGAAACACTGTAGTGACTGTAAGTGATGGAGTTAACTGAGATAGGAGTTGTCTCTTGCCTTTGTTCTTTTATTGTCTGTGCATGTTTGCTCATAAGTGTGTTACTGGCGATAGATCTCAGGTCCTTGAACACACTATAAGTGTTCTTTTAGTGAGTCATGTTCATATTACAACTCTTATGGGTTTTTTTGTAATTTTAAATCAATATTCTAGTAGTTTATTTCACATCAGAGGCCATGTAGAGATTTTACTACAGTTTCAGTATGGATGGTTCTAAAGAGAATGTTGACATCTTTTCTGGGAGACCCCAGAACAGGTATTTGACAGGCACTAAGACAAGGAGGAAATCTTTAGTAAGAATGTTGATGTCAGAGTGATAACATCTTGAATACTTGCCATTTCTCAAATGGTAAATCTTTACCATGATTACAACTGATGCATCATAGCATAAGCCAGCTTACATATATAATTGAATCCTATTAAATACTATCAGAGAAATAATCACTCATTCTCTGTCTATTATATGACTTTTTCCTGGTTAAAAAAAGTGAAATGAGTACATGGTATTCCTTGGGTTTTGATGTTCTCACACCACCTGTGTTGAGATTCATACAACTTGACTTACTGGTTCTGCTTCACTCTGTGTGGCATACCATTATCTAAATATAGTACAATAACACCAGCCAATCGCTAATGCACATCTAGATTGCTTCTAGTTCAAGGAATGTGAGTATTAATGTGAACCTTTTCTAGGTACACAGGTTTTCTTCTCTCACTGAATAAATATTTAGGGAGAAAAGTGAATTGTGTGATGAAGTTCCTTTTACCCTTCTCTTCTATTTTGGTAGCACCTTACAGTGGTTTTAAATACTAGTGCCCTGACAATGGAGAGAATTACCTTGTATTGTGGTTATTGGTTATTTTGAAAATTTTAAGACAACTTGAGTTACTCCGTGTTTCATTCCAGAATCCTTTTGGTTTTTTTGTTTTTGTTTTTGTTTTTGTTTTGTTTTGTTTTGGTATGGTTTTTCAAGAAAGGGTTTCTCTGTGACTGTGTCCTGGAACTAGCTATTGTAGATTAGGCTGGTCTCAATCTCAGAGAGATCTGCCTGCCTCTGCCTCCCGAGTGCTGGGATTAAAGGAGAGTGCCACCAACGCCTGTCTTCATTCCTGATTCTTACATCTCATTACAGAAAAATAAAGCAAATAAAAGTTCCCAAATAATTCAACTGTTATTTTCATAAATAAAACAAAGTGATATTTAATATGCTTGAGAAATGCTACCCAGCATCCTTTATTCATTACAGTAGCTAATTATTAAAAATCAACAAATAAGTTAAAACTTACCACTTTGTTTACTCGTATTCTCACGAGTCCCACAACATTTCGATAAATGTTGCAATACCCAGAATTAATAAAACCCACAAATGAAATGACAGTTCCACTTTCCACTAACACTGAAAATGAGACAGGGAGAGAGATACTATTATTTGCAATTATACTACATAAAATTACTTTGTATATTCCGACCAGAAAAAATTACCCTACTTGAATCAATAACTCTTTATGGTCATTTTCTGAATAGATGCCACTTCACAGATACTACATATGCAGAATGAAAACTTCAAAGTGTGCCTGGTGTGTGTAAACTGTACACCTCTAAAAATAATCACTGAGCAGCTTTGTCAGGAAGGCAATCAGGTACTATTATTGTCTAATAGGTGAAGAGTCCTGAGAAGCACGCATCTACAGAAAATGTTGAATTCTATGTTACAAAGAGTGCACTGCTTCTTAGAGGTGTGAGTTTGGTTGCCATCACACTCATAACAGGCACCTCTCAACCACCTGTAACTCCAGCTCCAGAGAAATCCAATGTATCTGGCCACCTTGGGAACCTGTCCTAAGGGTGTACACACATGTGCATGCATGCAGGGAGAGGTTAAAAAGTAATAAATCTTTAACAAGTATTTCTAATGTGTCTCATTTAAAGCTTTCAGAGACTTGAGTAGTGAGTTTCACCAAAAGTTAACTGTTAACTCTCCAGACCCCATACCTTCATCTGGAACAACTTTCTGAGTATAATAGTGGTTTCAGGCAAGGGCTTTCAGGGTATACTGGCTTATTGTGAAGTCTACTTGGGTGGTTCCTATGTATTTTTTACAAATTACATTACTTCTCTGAGCTTTGGCTTTTGGTCTTCTTGGAATTCTCTACATACTCCTCTATGTCCCTAGATGAGCAAATGGGGGAGGGGAGGCAGAGAGACTGTGAGTGATTTTTAAACCTAGAGGTTTCTTCAAAGTTCCTTTTTCAAAGGTTTCTCTCTTCAAAGTACCCATCTTTTTATTTTATGTATTTATGGTAGTTTTAGAGGACTTCCATTCAAAGTTCTAATACACTATTCCATGCAGTACTGCTTCTCATGTTACTCTGGTTTTTGAGGATCGGATCTTTGTAGAATTTCATGTTTCGTTTTCCTTTTTCATTTCAACTTTCAGAATTGCTTTGTAGTGTGAGAGTTAACTTCCCCTGTGATTGGTGCTTTCTTTAGTAAGTATATGAAATTCACTTAGCTATATAAGCCGAAGAGTAAATACTATATATGAATTTGTTATTATTGCTGTGAATTTTGAACCTCAGACTTTCTAAATATTTTAACTGTACCCAGAATCTTACTTCACAAAGCACTGGAGGATAAAAAGGACTGTAAACAAAAATCAGTATAAATTTAAAACTATAACCGCGTACCTCTAATGATAAAAGGATACACACTGCTATATTTATAGTATTAAATTATATAAAGTATGTTGGATAAGGACTGTAATAAGATATAAATGTTTTCATAAGGTTGGGACTACTAGTTGATTAGAACACCCAACCTTTATTGTTTATTTCTAATTTTGATTTTCATTTGAAGTGACTTTTCAGCTTTTAAATTTTTTTAGTTAATTGCTTGCTTTCTTTTAATGTTGTATGATTGCTTCCTACCCAGGTTTCCAACTAGACTTAACTGTAATTCTTCAACTGCTTTTAAGTCCTTATGTTAATTAGTTGGATGTTCTCTTTTATTTCCCATAATAGCCTGTTTGTAAGACAGCTTTTTATTTTAACAACTCTGATATTTTTGTTTAATGACAATTGCCTGGTTCACTGACTTTTGCCCTTGTATTCATAAAGAAAAGGAATTTACCTTTTCTTTATGAACTTCCCTTTATTTGCCAATGCCTAATTAAGTCTTTTATTTTTCTTGCTTTCAGATTATTGTACACAACACAGCACACTATATTGTATCTTTATAGCTCTAGTTACATCTAATATATCATGTAATGTGATCAATTTAGTTGTTTTTCACAATTTTCTTTTTAGAGAAGTGTACAGTCCCAAACATTTAGGAATTATGATGATTAAGCTTGGCTATTAGTATTAGGAGATCTATAATCACCAGGTAAACAAAGCTCTGGGCTTGTCCATAAGATTTCCTAATTGCGTTAACTGAGGAATGAGGACATATTCTGAATGTGTATAGTATTCATTCGATGAGCTGGGGTTCTAGATCAAATAAAGGAGACAGGAGGCTGAGCACCAGTAGTTATTTCAATCTGCTTTCTGACTCCTGATAGAATGCAACACGCTGCCTCAAATTCCAAACTCTCACTGCCATGACTACCAAGCGTTGATAGACTACACCTTCCAGTAAGCCTCCTCTTTCTTAAGCTGCTCTTTTTAGGTATTTTGTTGCAACAAGATGTATAACAAATACAGGATTATTCTTGTGCTACCCTTTAAATTTTATTTTTTGTTTTTCTCATGTTTTATGACAATTTACTATATTATTATGATACCCCTTATGTAACAGATGTTAAGGAAAACCCTGCAAATATTGAGACCTATGTATAACTAATATCTTTAATCTTAACACTTTTAATATTTGGTCTTTATACTTATAATTGTGGAATCTAATTCATTGATTAGCATCTTTACTCTAAAGATCATTATATTTCTCTGCAAAGGCTTTTGGCTGTTTTTATAGTCTGAGATTGGAGGGCTCTTCACTGCTCAGCCATCTCTACAGAACCCAAGGCATCACTGTTACCTATTTTCCTTAACTCCATAGTTATCTGTCAATTCCATAAGATCTACTTGTACCTCGATTTACTGATTTACTTAAAATGTTTTCACAGAAGGAGTCTTTGTGCATGCCTGGTTATCCTGAAATTCACTAAGTAGTCTTTCTGCTCTTGGTCATAGTCATTTCTGCCTCCCAAACAACGTACTACCATATCTAGTACATAAGATCTATCTTAAGGTATTCTTCATCTAATTAATTATCACCAACTCCCCTCCAACCATCCTACTTTGAATAAATTTCTTTTCAGATTTACTACTGGAAGGTTTTTTTGCTGATAATCCTGCTTAAATTATTGTGACCAAAATATTTTAAAGCATGAATTGATAATATGCATAAATCTTCAATAAAATATTAGTAAATAAATTCCAACATCCTGGATTATGGATGTAATCCAGTGGTAGAATAGTTGTTGGTTGTGGAGATGGATCAAGTGCATGAAACCTAGTACTGGAAAATAAATAACTATATCTAACAATATGTGGAAGAATTACACACCAAAAATCAAAGAGATTTATCAAAGATATGTCACAAATGTGCAATGTTCAAAAATCAAATAATGAAATCCATCATAACAACAGATTAAAAAGTACAAAGTAGGATCAATCTTTTTATCAATTCAGAAAATAGCTTAATTCAACATCTACAGCTGGGCAGTAGCCTTCTTGTAGAATATCTAGCATGTGAAAAACTGTGCACCAACTCTAGCACCACAAAATAATAAAACAAAGTTTAAAAACATTCAGTAATTATTTACGACAAAACTTCCAAAAAATTGGTATAGAAAGCAATTTATTGAACTTAATTGAAATGTCTATTTACAGATAAAAGCAAATATTGGGGGAGTATTTTTTCTACTCAGAGTGGAAATATCAAGAATGTCCTATTATTTATTTTTCACATCTTACTGAAGGTCCTAAATGAATGATACAAGAGAAAAACATAATATTTATAAAGAGCAGAGAATTAAAACTTTTTCCCATGATGTCATTATATTAGTAGAAAAATCTGAAAAAGATGGACTAAGATTCCAAAATTCATTAGCCATATCAGGTAAGGTAAAGAATACAAAACTAAAACAAAAGAGTCAATCAGTTTCCAGATATACAAACAATTAGTGATTTGAAATTAAAACAATACTCATTTTTAAGAGTTTAGAGAGCTTAGAGGGAATCTATTGTTATCGTTTTATCAGTCATATTGTCAAACTACATACTGCGTGTTAAGTAACTGTTTTACTCTCAACCACAGTCAGAGATGCTTTGACTTTAGTTGAGTCAGGACTAATGCAGAAATTCCTTGTTATTCAAAGTGCTGAGAATAAGCAACTTAGAATGCTGAGCCTTAAATTGTATACCTACATCAACTTATTCACCCTTTAACATAACTCAGGAATATCTTGAAAGTTTGAGCAGAAAGAGTGTACAAGGTGGAGTGGAAGAAGGTGGAAATATGAAACTCTTGTCTTCTTGATATGATATGACTATTGTAGTCATGAACTCGAATCAGCTGTGGCTACCTGTATATAACTGCATAAGATCAACACAGTTTAAAGTTCCAACAGAGGTTTATGGGTAAGAGGTGCCTAGGATCCATCCCTAGTTGAGAAGCTATTGGCAGTTGTGTCTTCTAGGGCAGTGAAAATCATTTACTTCTGTTGGGGGAGAGGTGGCAACTGATTTGTTCATTAAGATCCAGCAATTGACCTCATGCAATAGAGCATTTGGGGAACTACTACAGAATTCAGTGAGTTAAAACATATTAATAACAGTAAAATGAACAAAAGGAAGGAAAGAAGTTTGGAGGAAATTATGTTTAGAAGTTCCAGGGCAATGAGATATAGTCAAGATATATTGTTTACACATATAAAATTTTCAACTAATAAATATAAATTATTAACATACTATATCATGTACATTTGCATATCACTTGAGTTAAGTACTTCATTATAAACTAACCAAATATATAAAAGAGACAAAAGCAACAAGATATGTATGAATGCACAAATTATGTGCAAGTGATGAATGATATTAAAGAAGTCCTTATATTATACATCAATAAATAGAAAGATCTAGCAATGATACTATGCCAGTTTCTTCCTAAATTATCTACAGACTCAGTACTGCCTCATTAAAACTAATAATAAAAGTTAAAATTTTAAAAGGAGAGATAAAGTTGGGGCAGAACCGATTAAAATTCCAGTTACCTAATTTTGTAAATAATAGCACTGATTTGATATTTCTTTAAAAGATACAAAAGATTAGCAAAACGTTGAAATAAAAGAGTAAAAAACTAAGGAGGACATTACTATAGACAAGACTTCTTATAAAG